CCTGAGCCGGTGAGATTTGAACCGCTGAACTGCTGATCTAGCAGTAGCCTGCAGTGCTGCATTTAACCACTGCGCCACCTCGGCTCTTAATCTCTACCCTGCCTCTGCTTCAAGCCACGGCCAGTCAGAGGCCTTTTCTATAAGCCTAATTGATGTCACCCTCTGTGAGGCTGCTTGGATGGGGCCAGGATGGAGGGACTAAGATCACTTCAGGTCTGGGGGGCAGGATAAAAGCAAGATATGGGGTCAAGGCAGGAAAAAAAGAGGTTGTTGGGCCACAATTGTATGACTCTTGGATACTAGAGGAAAAGGGCTTCCCAACTGCCACTCTCTAGCTCAGTGATGGTGAACGTTTTTTCCCCTCAGGTGCCAAAATCGCATGCACGTGTCCACACCCATAATTAAATACCCCCCATTGTGCCCACCTGCGCATACGTGTGCAACCCCACCCGCTGCCCCCGCGCATGGACGCATGGCTTTCCTGAAGCCTGGGGAGGCCGGAAACGGCTCGTTTTCCAAACTTGGGCCCGTTGCGCCTGTTTTTCGCCATCCACAGGATCCAGAGGCTTTCCTAAAGCCTGGGGAGGGCGAAAATGGCCTCCCCTGCCCTCTGGAAGCCTGAAAACCAGCTGGCCAGTGTGTGAATGCACACTGAAGCTGACACAGGGCAACCCCTTGTGTGCCTTCAGATATGGCTCTGCGTGCCACCGATGCCATAGGTTTGCCATCACGGCTCTAGCCAGACTGGGCTTCATCTCCCATTAATCCCTCACTATTATGCTCACTGTCTAGAGGTTATGGGAACCCTAGGGGTTAAATCCAATACTGGTGGTCCTCGACTTAGAACCACAATTGTGCTCAAGATTTATGTTGCTAAGCAAGGCAGTTCTTAAGTGAGTTTCACAATCTGTCTTGCCATGGTTGTTAAGTGAATAACTGCGGTGGTTAAGTTAGTAACATGATTGTAAAGTCAATCCAGCTTTCCCATTGACTTTGCTCATCAGGAAAGGTGATCACATGACTCCGGGGCCCTGCAACCATCATAAAGACACACCAGTTGACAAACACCTGAGTTTTGATCACATTACCATGGGGATGCTGCAACAGTTGGAAATGCGAAAGACAGTCTTAAGTCGCTTGTTTCGGTAACTTTGGTCACTACATGAAAGGTTGTAAGTCGAAGACTACCTGTATCTATGGAAAGCATCAAAGGCTGGTCTAAGATAAGGTGCTGATTTAGATCAAGTCTAATGAATTTCGTTGTATTTAAGTACAATGACAATAAAGATTATACTTATAACTCCTAAGAAATCATTCCTGAAAGCAATCACAATGAGTTTTGACATATGTATTGTGTATGAGATCTGAAGGTACTATTGACTACTGGAATTCATTTTCAGTAGCATGCTTATTTGCCCAAATTCAAGCATGCATACAGTATATATATGATTGCAGATGCAAGCATCTATGCATATACACTATATTGCCAAAAGTATTCGCTCACTGCCTTTATTCGCATATGAATTTACTGTAAGTGACATCCCATTCCTAATCCATAGGGTTCAATATGACGTAAAAGAGCCGAGGTGGCGCAGTGGTTAGGGTGCAGTACTGCAGGCCACTTTAGTCGACAATTAGCTGAAGTTCCACGTTTTAAATCTCA